TATAAACTTAGAAACAATATATATTCCATTTCCGTAATACTCTACATTTAAATGCTTTTATTTATACAGTTCAAGAAATGGCTTAGTTTTGATGGTGCTAAAGTAGGAAATCCTGAGAGATTTATATCTGGTTCATTGGCTGGTGTAACTGCTCAGACCTGCATTTATCCACTAGAGGTATGCATTCTTGTAAAATTTTTACTTAACTCATTCTTCTAATGCAAATCACAACTCATTGTAAGTGAATCTAATATCAGAATTATGGGAAATAAATTGATATTTATAGCTACAAAATTTAAATCTCATTTCAACTGTCAGTCCCTTTAAGACAAGGGAAATATTGTAGGTGCCCCAAGCAGATAGGAATTTTGTTGACTAATTGTTTTGCAAAATCAGTAACTCATCAGTCAGGCAAATTTGTATCTTGAACCCATTAAATTTTAGTTATATGCTAGGTGCTGTAGGGATCTAGGGAAGAATCAGACAGAATTTGGTGGTGGAGTTTATAGTCTAGAAGGAAAAATGCAACCAATACACTTATATTGATTGTGCAAAATATAAACTCTAGAAGAAAAGTAAATATGAAAGACTATGGAAATTCAGAGATGGAAGGGAATTATTATCAACTTAATATTAGCAGCTAAAACCAGGCCAGAGGCTGATTATGGTACATACCTTAATTACACATACGTAAGTTCAGATTGAAGGTGAAGAAAATTAAGATAAATGTCCACAAGAGACAAAATACGATCTTAAGTCTATATCACATGACTATTGAGAATATCTTAAGATTTGATGCATTAAACACTAATGACAGAAGACCTGATGAACTGTGGGATGACATCAAGAATATCATTCATGAAGAAAGCAAAAGTCATTCAAAAGACAAGAAAGAAAATTAAGAGGCATGGGAAGCAAGCTCCAGGAGAAAGCAGCAGGACTGATAGTTCTGGAGGGCCTTAGGGGGAGGAGGAGGTGAGGGAAGGGAGTGGTGAGCAAACAATGACAGGGGAACAACTAGGGAATTAACATCAACAATAAGGAGGATGTAGATATCCTGGGGGTGTTGGAGCAACAGCAATCTAACTAAGAGGAATTACTAGGAGGCAGAAGAAGGGCAAGCATGATGGTGGGGCAGGAGGAAGGTAAAAGAAAACAGGGGAAAGATCTAGTAAGCAAAGCTATGGATAGAGGTATAAACATAGGTGTGACAAAATTCATAAAAATAGGGGTATTATTAGTAGGCCACTGGAGATCCCCTTGCAGAGGGGTCTTGGGGAGGAGATGAGCCAGTCAGGGTGCGATGTAACAATGATGAGAAATACAACTTTCCTCTAGTTCCTAAATGTTTCCTCCCCGCTCCCAC